TTGGGTGCAAGAATAAAAGGATCTAAATTAGTGTTGTGTAACACACAGAGAGACAAGCAGAAGAGTATGAAAGAAGAGCAATCAACAAGAAAGTTGAGAAACAGGAAACTGAAAGCAGATCATCTTTTTCCAGCTACTATTTACATTTTTCAAAATTTTTCTGCAAGTGACATGAACTTGAATCCTAAGGCTAGAAAAGAGTATCACATGGTAAAAAAGAAAACAAAAGAATTCTCACTGATGAGGCTCCAAGGCTTTAAGTCTCATCTCCGTCTCAAAGAATGAAGCAGTCTTCAACTGCTATATTGGCTCAGAGTTGTAGAATAGGTTTCCATCCTATTGAAAATGAGACTTTCTGCCCTGCTCAGGGGAACATATAGGTGCCGCTAAACTTCAGCTATTGTTGAAAACATGCATTAGGCCTCTTTAAATACTTTTGGGGTAAGAAGCCTTTGCTTGGATGGCCATGTACGCTAAAGAAAACCACAGAAAATAAGACATTATTAGCTGCACAATTGTAAGACAAGAAAAGCCTCAAAGCAATACACAAGAACACAGGAAGTTTTAAAGGGGTAGAGCTGTAACGACATTTATTAAAAGGCATACTACAACAACTAGAGTTAGGAAAGAGTTAGGTATAGATACCAACTAAGCAGGAAATACACTATCCTAAAAGAAACTGAATACAGTGCAGCATTAACAAAATCAAATCAACCATGCACTACACAGTCAGAAAATAGTTCTCTTTAATATTACATCTTCTTTTCAGTTTTAAGTCATCTCGACAAACATGGAATCCTTTTTATGCAATGCCATAAGATACTTTATGAATGAATGCTGTTGCTCATTCAAATATATAAAGCAATTGAGATTTTTTAATATAAAAACATTTTACACTTCCATTTGTTCGCCAAAACACTTTTTGCCATGTTTAAAAAAAACCCAAAACATGATGTTACAAATATTTATAACATTTTCTTGTGTTCATCTAACATTTTTATAAATTGAAAGGGAACTTTTATGAACAGATCATGTAAAATGAAGGAACATCAGCAATTCTTAGCCACGCTTCTTGTGTCTTGAATATAATACTAAAAGTAGTCCATTAACTTTTTGCCTTATCTCACACCATTTGGTTCACATTACGGTCTCATTTTCCACTGAGTTTCATCCACCAATAGTAGTCTCAAGTAAAGGCCACTTCGCATTGGGTCTTCCCATCAGAAAGGAGCACAAGACAAAACACAGGTTTTCTGCCAAATGTCTCAGTAAAACCAGAAGAGGCAGTCTTTGGTAAGAGAGTAAGGTGACGTGCTGATGCAAGAAGCTCTTTCGTTAGCAACCTTTGTCCTATGCTGCTGCAGTTCTAGGGTGAACTTTTGCAGACAGTGGATAACATATTAAAAAGAATTGGAAAGTGCTTAAAATGAACTGAGTACATAGGTGGTAGCTTCCTGCTCATAAAAAATTCACAGTTTCCAAGAATGGACAAACTGCTTACAGTGATGACATTAGTAAGGTAAGAGCTTTCTTATCTGTCAAGGACCTTCAATTACATAAGAGTTTCATTTCTTTGGGACTGCTCCAGGCACAAAACATTATTACTAATGATTAGGCGGTTAGGAGGCCACTCCTCTCCCTCAATGAGGTGGAGAGGAGAAAAATTAAGAAAAGGCCTGAGGGTCAGGCAAGAACAGGGACTGATCACCCACCGACCATGGCCCCAAGCAAAACGGACTCAGCTTGGGGACAAACCAATTTAATTAGTTAATGGCTCATTGAAGAAACAAAGCCAGATCTCAAAAACGCCTCCCCCCCACCTCTCCTTTCTTCCTGCTCTACCTCCTCCCCCCAGCAGAGCAGGGGGACAGGGAATGGGGGGCTGCAGGGCAGTTCATCACACGTTGTTTCTGTCTCTCCATTTCTTAAAGAAGGAGGACTCCTGACACTCTTTTCCCCTGCTCCAGTCAATCCCCTCTTCACAGGACAGTCCACAGACTTCTCCAACATGAGTCCTGCCCACAGGATGCAATCCTTACCTGTCAGATTGCTCCAGCATGGGCTTTTACCACAGAGTCACGGCTTCTTAGGGAGCTGCCACCCGCTCTGGTGTGGGGTTCTCTACAAGCTTCAGATGCCTCTCCGCCTCGTTGTCAGTCTCCAGCAGCAAACGGAGACCATTCTCCTACAACCTCCTTCAGGCACAGGCATCTCTGCTCCAGCATCGGGTCCTCCACGGGCTATGGGTGGGTCTCTGCTCCACCGTTCATCTCCATGGGCAGCAGAGGGGCCACTGCCCTCTCACCATGGTGTGCAGGGGAATCCCAGCTCTGGCACACCTCCTCCTGCTCCATCTTGAGATGGAGCTCCATCCTCCTCCTCCTCCGAGACCTCACCTGGAGTACCGCGTCCAGTTCTGGAGCCCCCAACATAAGAAGGACATGGACCAGTTGGAGAGGGTCCAGAGGAGGGCCACGAAGATGATAAGAGGGCTGGAGCACCTTTCCTATGAGGACAGGCTGAAAGAGTTGGGGCTGTTCAGCCTGGAGAAGAGGAGGCTCCGGGGTGACCTTATAGCGGTCTTCCAGTACCTCAAGGGGGCCTACAGGAAAGATGGGGAGAGGCTGTTCAGGAGGGCCTGTTGTGATAGGACAAGAGGTAATGGTTTTAAAATAGAGAGAGAGGTAGATTCAGATTGGATATTAGGAAAAAATTTTTTACCATAAGAGTTGTAGAACACTGGAACAGGTTGCCCAGAGAGGTGGTGGATGCTCCATCCCTGGAGACGTTCAAGGCCCGGTTGGACGAGGCCCTGAGCAACCTGATCTAGTTGGAGATATCCCTGTTCCTTGCAGGGGGGTTGGACTAGATGACCTTTGAAGGTCCCTTCCAGCCCTAACCATTCTATGATTCTATGATCTTCACTCACCTGGTGTCTGCGTGGCCGTTTCTCTCAGGTCTTAGTCCTCTCTCTGCTGCAGCCATGCCGGGCCCGACAAACCTCAGTAGCAGCAGCCCAGCATGGACAGCAGCCCACACAGGAGGCTGTGGTCCAGCCTCTGCCTCCTCTCTCTTCAGTGTAGGTCCAGCCTCCTGTTCAGGCTCCTTTGTCCCCATCTTAAATAGGGCATTCGCAGAGGCGCTGATGGGCTCAGCCCTGGCCTGAGGGGATGGGGGGATCTGACCTGTCCAGAGGCTGGTCCAGCCGGTTTTGGAGATGGGGAAGCTTTTCAGAGCTACTTACAGGGGCCATTTCCACAGCCCGTCCCAGCACAGGACAACATTCATTTTTAATAATACAAATACACGATTTCCAAGGGAAAAGAGTATTTATTATACCTAATACAGCAACAGATATGAAAAAAACCTACATGTCAAACTACTGAAGGCACATAAACTTTGGTCTAATTTTGTTCCACATACGTTGTCATATATAAGCAAATCTCCCCAGATATGTGGAATCTTTTAGGCATAAAAAGGAGCTTAGTATCAGTGCACAAAACGCTATGATTGAGAGGAACTCAAACACTAACAGCATATCAGCTCACTTTCCAAAGAGAAATAGACATTCAGTGTCGAACATTTTTTCATACTTACAAAGGAAAGAATGCTAGCTCTTTATTAATTGAAGTTTAATACTGAAAGAAAATGTAGAAACCCAAAAGACAATATTCTGGTACAGCTGATGTCTCTCGAAAGGTTAGATGAAGTCCAGAAACTGGAGTGAATCTGCTATTTGGTCTTTCTATACAGATTTTTTTTTCTAGCGCATTTTTTTGGATGTGAATTTTTTTCAGCCAAGTACTGGTATCAGACTACTGCAACAGGTACATTTTAAGAATCCCTACATGATTATGCAGTGAATTAAACCTCATTCCCACCTCTATACCAAAGCGCAAGAGGCTACAATTCAGAGTATTACTTAATTTTTAAAAATGTTTTGAAGTATTGAAAAAAAAATTTCCAAAAAAGATTAAAAAGAGAATTTTCCCAAAGCCTACAATATATTTTTCAAGATATTTCAGAGAAAATTCTAAGCAATTGTATCTTAAGCACGTACTAAGGCACATAATAAGAAATTAAGTAAATAGAGTAATTTAAGTATTAGACATTATAGTGGTACAGAAAACTCTTGAAGATTTAATTTTTCTTCCCCCAAAGATGACCTTAACAAAAATAACTTCTTAAAACATTGTCAAACCACAGACCTGAATATTTTCCATAACAGTGTAAACACGTTATTATTTAAAGAAATGTAAATTTTTTTTTTTGAAATCAGGACTATTTTCTTGTCTTATTTTCTCTAAAGTCTATTACACAACATCACTTCATAGTAGAAATAAGACATCAAAGTTTCATGCCAGCATTAAGTCAAGCTAAGTCTCTGATACCGTATCTTGAAGAAACTTGTCAAATACCTTTTACTGCACAGAGAGAAGTTATTGTCTTTTCTCTAATATTAAATTTAACCCAAATGAACAGCACAGACTTTTTATTCTTAAAAAAAGTTATTTGCAAAGATTTGCCGAAGTATGAACACACCGCCTGGTAACATAAACACTATTTAGAGGACACTTACAGTTAATGCTTGCTTTTCAAGAAACCTAAGCAATATTTCACATGCAACTTAGTGTTTTATGTTTGTAAAGTAGATTTACCATTTTGTTAGAAATACTTTTTGTTTGGTATACTGTAAAGGTACTCTAAAATGTTTTGTAAGGCTGATTTTGAAGAAAAGCTAAAAGCATGTTATCAAAATACAAGTAGGAAATTTTATTATAAATATAGTTGCTAAACCAATTTCACAGAAGAATCTTTCTATAGATTAATATTAAACTTTAATCACGTACTGACAGCTAAAATCAGAAAAGATCATAAGGTAACTCTGTGTATGAATGAGCTTATTTTAAGAGGCAGAGCTGGTCACAGTTGTTTCAATCGCTATTTGAAGATTTTACTCAAACTGTGATGCAATCTGAAAAGGAAACTCCACAGAAAAGTCAAATTGTAAATTTTGAGAAGGAAATTCGGAGGTGATGGTTTTCTCCAAGATCATGATTGTGAAACTCAATAAGAGCCTGAAGTGCTTCTTCCACAGAGCCCATTTGGATAAGAGCCATTTTGCCATCTTTCCTGAAATACAATAAAAACCATTATTAATCCTAACCAAATTTTTATTGCACTAGCCAACACAGAAAAGTGACGCAAGTATTTTTTCAGTCACATCATACACACTGAACGCTTGTACAGAGAAAGAATCACAACTAGTTGTGCACCTGTTAAAATGAGGAGATAACTATACAAATTTTGGGAATTAATGGCCTGCAGCCATGCCATTCTTTTATTACATGGCACTAAAATTACAGGGTTGAAATAACTCTTGAAGACCTCTAAGAAACACTTGTATTATCTGTATGTATGGGACTATTCAAGCAAGTATGACCATGCTAAAAGAATGCTGCCAAGCAACCTTCATGAATGGTAGAGCAGATTGTCATCATTTACATGACATTTTTAAGTATACACAGCCTGTATTTCTTTTTCTTTTTAAAGTAGTGAGTATTTACTTTCCTTAAACCTATCTTACTTTGAACATACGTGGAATTTGTCGAAAGGCCAAATATCTTTTGTTAACTGTGTTAACATAATATCCCATTTAAAATTTTAATATTAGGATTATAATGAAAATCGTCATAGCTGAACAGCTTTTGCCTATAGATATAAGCATATGAATTTTGCCTACAGTCAGACACACATGGAATTTGCCAAAAAAAAACCCAATTAGCCATCTTCCAGGATGAAATCTTGCTCAGCATTTTCACAAGAGAACTTACTGGATGAATCTGAAGGCTTCCACAGTAGATCCAGTACTTGTGAAAAGGTTCTTCAGATCATGATCAGTAACAGAAGGCCTATTTAAAACAAGCAAACAAACAAAACCAAAACAAAACCCCCTCAACTTGAAAAGAGCACAGAGTTCTGTAATTGTACCAAAATCTCAATTCTAACTTCTAAGTTAAATTTGAACAGCAAAAACTATCTCCATCTGCTCAAGCCATGTCAACGCTTTAGCCCAAACATCTTGGCTTTGACACTAAGATTGAGCACCACCATGTGCTACAAAAATATTTCAGATACACTCTACTTCTTTTTGTCCTTCCTCATTCCTACCTCAGTTAAATTCAGATTGTATAAAAATCACTGAAGATCTTAACTGGTACCTTCAGAAATACCTTTCATCTTGTAATTATTCTTAATGTCCTTCACATATTTTCAATTTCAAAAGTTTTCTATTTTATTCAAAAAGCCATTTTCTAAGTCTTTTTTTTTCCTTATTTGGACAAAATTCCATAATCTTTCCTTTTCCCTTCCTGCACAGCTGCTGAACAAAAGAAGCCTGTAAAAACTTATGTTTGGCTGTCATTCCACGCATTGTTGACATCATCCTAGATAGGAAAAAAGGTTGTTTCAGTTTTAAAGAACCTGCTTCTTAGGACATTTTTTTAAAAACAACTTCCCCTCTATGTAAGACGTCTGAATTTGGTAGAAACTGTTCTTTAAACAGTGTTAGAATGATTAAAAACTGTATCTACATTAAATAATGATGCCAATGATGAATTTGATGTAATGTAACTCCTATACATTATCTCAAAACCCATTTATTTAATCTTTGCAAAAATTTATAACACAGGACTTAATATGTGAAAAACAAAAGCATATTCTCAAGAAAACGTAAACTATATTAAAACTTGTAAAGAAGAGCATTCAATCGCTTATCCTCCTTGCTAACAATAAAAAAAGTGACAGTTAAAGGATTCACTTATTGTTAATTACACAGCAGAATGACTCAAATTCTTGGGAAACTGTAATAGGTCAAGCAAATTTAAAGCTTATCTCAGACTTTGTAACTTAAGAACATTACCTAAAAACCATCATTTTTCCAAGAAGATCACACACGGAGATACTCACGGGATGTTGGAGAGATGCAGGGTGTCAGATGGAGGAACGATATTTTGGAAGTTCTTAGACCCAGGCTTCTTAAAGCGATGTAAGGGGCTATGGGTATAGTCCTTTGTCAGGTATAGGTCCTCTTGTCCCTCCTGAAGAAGTTGAACTGTCTGATGTTTTGAAAAAGTAATACGGAGGACCCTTCCATAAAGCCTCAGTCCATTCAAGTGTCTGATAGCTAACCAGTGGAAACATAATTCGAACAGGAATGAAAGGAGGGGAAGAAAAAAGGCTTCTTTGAATACTAGTATTGTCTTCTATTATCAGATTTCACATTCTAAATTTAAACTGCAACTTCCATGTCTACCAGGAGGCTATGTCATAACATTACAGTTAAAGCAAGTGTAAAGATATAATATAACCTGCAGTCTAAATGCAATGAAAATGCAAAACAGTATTTCAATAAAGACCAGTTGATTATGCTTAAATAGCTAGATATAGGATAAACTACAGGAAAATTGTATGATGTTTTAATACTAACATTTGCTAGACTGAGATTCAAAGGATTTTTTTTTTTTTTCCAAACCACTATAGGAAAATAATTTCTTTACATGAAAGCAAACAGGTCGTTATCAACATACACAAGGAAAAGTTTGTATGTAGTAAAGCATCTCAAAGACGGATTTCTCGTGGGAGACTCTGATGCAGCCTGGGCATTGCCAGAGCAACGGCAACTGCCCCCACCTTACAAAAGTCAGCCTAGGGAGCACTAGCGACCAGGAGTGCTGGGAACGGAGTGAACAAACAGGCCTCCCAGCTCCAGAGGTGAGTTTAGTTGGCGGCCAACAGCCTCTCAGAAGGAGCTCAGCTATGGCATCCACCTGGCCGAAAGCTGAGTCCTCTGCACTCGGCAGAAGGGATGTGGCAGTGCACACAGAGCTCCCACAAAAGCACGCGGCTCCCCAGGTCTCGGGTTGCAGGGAGTGCCAGAGCCATTCTCAGGGAAGGGACAGCAACAGTGAGAAGGGCTGTGTGAGCTGTGACCAGGAGGACCATCTGCTCAGCATGGTGGCACAGCTGCGAGAGGACATGGAAAGGTTAAGGAGCATCATGGAGTCTGAGAAAGAGAGAGACTGGTGGTGTCATGCGCGGCCCAACCTGAGACAGAAACAGGGAAAGCCACCAGAAAAACCACCAAGATCACGGGGATTCTATATCATTCCCCCCACCAGGCTGAAGGCAGTAACTTAAAGGAAAGAAGTGAATGGAGGGAAGTCTGTGCTTGGGGAGGCAGGTGAACATCCTCCTTGCCAACCTCGCCTTCCCAGGTGCCTCTGCACAGCAGGTATGAGGCTCTGGAAGTGGAAGACCCATTGATGGATGATGTGGATGATGGTCCATCTACACTGGAGGGGTTGCCAGGGGCAGAAAGGTGTACCCCCTGTATCACGACAACCTCCATGAGGAAGAAAAGATGGGTAATAGTTGTAGGCGACTCCCTTCTCAGGGGAACAGAGGGTCTGATATGCCAGGCAGACCCTCCTCTTAGGGAAGTCTGCTGCCTCCCAGGAGCCCGGGTTAAGGATGTCGCAAGGAAACTTCCTAGCCTGGTACAGCCCTCGGACTATTACCCGTTACTGCTCTTCCATGTGGGTGGCGATGAAACTGCAACACGAAGTCCAAGGGCAGTCAAGAGAGACTTCAGGGCCTTGGGACAACTGGTAAGGGAATCTGGGGCACAGATTATCTTTTCTTCTCTCCTTCCAGTTGCGAGCATGTTGGGATGGCCTACACAGCACCAGACTTGCTGGCACCAGATGGGATTCACCTTTCTCAAAGGGGAACAAGGGTCTTTGCTCATCAGCTAGCGGGGCTTATTTACAGCACTTTAAACTAGATTTGAAGAGAGAGGGGGATAACATCAAGCTTGATCAGGACAAGCTGAGAGCACCTGAAGAGCAGCAGAAAGGAATTCCAGTAAATCAGATTCATCTGGGGCCCAGCTTAAATGCCTCTATGCAAACACACGGAGCATGGGGAATAAACAGGAGGAGTTAGAGGTGTGCGTGTGCCTGCAGGGTTGTGATCTTACTGGCATCACAGAGATGTGGTGGGATGAATCCTATGACTGGAATGTTGGAATAGAAAGATACATGCTCTTTAGGAAGGAAAGGCAGGGGAGACGAGGAGGAGGTGTCGCCCTCCATGTCAAAGGCCAGCTGGAGTGCATGGAGCTCCACCTGAGGATGGATGAGGAGCCAACTGAGAGTTTATGGGTAAGGATTAAAGGGAAGGCAGGGACAGGTGACGTTGTAGTGGGGGTCTGCTACAGACTACCTGACCAGAAAGACCGAGTGGATGAGGCCCTCCAAAGACAAATAGGCGCAGCCTCACATTCACAAGCCCTGGTTCTCATGGGGGACTTCAGTCACCCCCATATCTGTTGGAGGGACAACACAGCAGGGCAGAAGCAACCAGGAGGGTCCTGGAATGCATTAATGATAATTTCCTTCTTCAAGTGATAGAGGAAGCAATGAGGAGAGGTGCTATGCTGGACCTTGTTCTCACCAACAAGGAGGGACTGGTGGAGAATGTGAAGCTTAAGGGCAGCCTTGGCTGCAGTGATGATGAAATGATGGAGTTCAAGATCCTCAGGGCTGCAAGGAGGGTGCACTGCAAGCTCACTGTGCTGGGTTTCAGGACAGACTTTGGCCTCCTCAGGGATCTGTTTGGCAGAGTACCAGAGGAAGAAGCCCTGGAGGGAAGAGGGCCCAAGAAAGCTGGTTAATATTCAAGGATCACCCTCTCCAAGCTCAGGAGCAATGCATCCCAACAAAGAGAAAGTCAGGCAGAAATTACAGGAGGCCTGCATGGATGAACAAGGAGCTCCTGGACAAACTCAAGCAAAAAAGGGAAGCCTACAGAAGGTGGATGCAAGGACAAGTAGTCTGGGAAGAACACAGAGAAATTGTCTGGGCAGCCAGGCATCAGGTTCGGAAAGCTAAAGCCCTGACAGAATGAAATCTGGCCAGGGACATCAAGGACAACAAGAAAAACTTCTATAGATATGTCGTTGCTAAAAGGAGGACTACAGAAAATGTGGGCCCTCTGTAGAAAGAAACAGGAGACCTGGCTACCCGGGATATGGAGAAGTCTGAGGTACTCCATGACTTTGCCTCAGTCTTCACTGGCAAGAGGTCCAGCTGCACAGCCCAAGTCACAGAAGGCAAAGGCAGGGACTGGGAGAATGAAGAACCGCCCACTGTAGGAGAAGATCAGGTCTGAGACCATCTAAGGAACCTGAAGGTGCACAAGTTTATGGGACCTGATGAGGTGCATCCGCAGGTCCTGAGGGAACTTACGGATGAAGTTGCTAAGTCATTATTGAAAATATTTGAGAAGTCATGGGAGTCTGGTGAAGTTCCCACTGACTGGAAAAGGGGGAACATAGCCCCCATCCTTAAAAAGGGAAAAAAGGAAGACCCAGGGAACTCCAGGCCACTCAGTCTCACCTCCATGCCTGGCAAGATCATGGAGCAGATCCTCCTGGAAATATGCTAAGGAAAACAGGAGGTGTTTGGTGACAGTCAGTATAACTTCACTAAGGGCAAATCGTGCCTGACAAATTCGGTGGCCTCCTACAATGGTGTTACAGTGTTGATGGATAAGGGAAGAGCAAATGACATCACCTGCCTGAACCTGTCCAAATCCTTTGACACTGTCCTGCATGACATCCTTGTATCTAAATTGGAGAGACATGGATTTGATGGATGGACAACTCAGTGGATAAGGAATTGGCTGGATGGTCACACTCAAAGAGTTGTGGTCAATGGCTCAATGTCCAAGTGGAGACCTGTGATGAGTGGCGTTCCTCAGGGGTGGGTATTGGGATCGGTGCTGTTTAACATCTTTGTTGGTGATGTGGACAGTGGGATCGAGTGCACCCTCAGCAAGTTTGCAAATGACACCAAGTTGTGTGGTGTTGTGGACACACTGGAGGGAAGGGATGCCATCCAGAGGGACCTTGACAGGCTTGAGAGGTGGGCCTGTGAGAACCTCATGAAGTTCAACAAGGCCAAGTGCAAGGTCCTGCACATAGGTCAGACAATGTCAAGCACAAGTACAGGCTGGGCAGAGAATGGATTGACAGCAGCACAGAGGAGAAGGACTTGGGGGTGCTGGTGGATGAAAAGCTGAACAGGAGCTGGCAATGTGCACTTGCAGCCCAGAAAGCCAGCCGTATCCTGGGCTGCATCCAAAGAAGCGTGGCCAGCAGGTCAAGGGAGGTGATTCTGCCCCTCTGCTCTGCTCTCATGAGACCCCACTTGGAGTAATGCATTCAGCTCTGGGGCCCCCAATACAAGAAGGACATGGAGCTACTGGAGTGGGTCCAGAGGAGGGCCATGAAGATGATCCGAGGGCTGGAGTATCTCTCCTCTGAAGACAGGCTGAGAGAATTGGGGTTGTTCAGCCTGGAGAAGAGAAGATGCTTTGGACACCTAGCAGGCTTCCAGTACCCAAAAGTGGCCTACAAGAAAGCTGGAGAGGAGTTATTTGCAAGAGCATGTAGTGATAGGACAAGGGGCAATGGCTTTAAACTGAAAGAGGGGAGATTTAGATTAGATATAAGGAGATGTTAGCGGTGAAGCACTGGAACAGGTTGCGCAGAGAAGCTGTGGCTTACCCATCCCTGGAAGTGTTCAAGGTCAGGTTGGATGGGGCTTTGAGCAACCTGATGTAGTGCAAGGTGCCCCTGCCTATGGCAAGGGGGTTGGAACTAGATGATCTTCAAGGTCCCTTCCAACCCAAACCATTCTATAATTCTATGATTAAATTTGTCTATGCTTGCCACTGACATATGTCAAATTCCTATTTATATCACATTCATGCTTGTTTGAAGCATAACTGTGCCTTAAAAAATCAGTACCTATTTGAGCCTGGATTCCATCTGCCATCTGAACCAAGGCATTATCTTTTTTCTTAAACATGATCTTCACACGATGCACATCACCATACACACCTGTGGAAATCCAGAAAGGAAATTTGTCCACAGCATTACTACAAACAGCACAAGGGCATGTCTGTTTCTTTTGACTAACATTAGTGTTACAAACAATAATCACCTCACTAAACAGGTTGTTTAGAATATTAGTATGAAGGAGAGGTTTAAAGTGTGTGTATTATTTTTCTGAGGCTCAGAAATCGAGGGAAAAAAATCAGGAGCTTAGTCATAAAACTGCATGTTTACGTTCAGCTTTTAAATAGTGCAACAGTGTTAAAATCTTCTTGAGAAGCATATTGAAATATTACTATGCCAACAAATTGTCCTCTGCGGCTAATGTACATGCCAATTCAGTGCTCCATTTCCTCTGATGCAATCTTTGTTTTTTCATCTTACTTTGCTTTCCCATTTATTGTAGTAAACAAACTGAACCACACGCTGAACTTCTTACACTATAACTGTTTTTACTTTTTGGTACCTGTGGCCTACAACTACTGACTCAAATTATTGTCCTTTTAAAACCACTGAATTCTTGTGCATTTTCTGGACAAGGACAGAACATTGGAGCTTGCATTAAGTGGCATGTGTCCGATAAATAAAAAGAATGCTAGTTCTCAAGGTATATTTAACATATCTTACCAAATAGGATGAAAAGTCCATATGGTGTGATGGCCTGTTTAAAAGATAAAATGAGTAAGTTATTTTTAAAGCCATGCAAATAAAGAAATCTATTCCATAAGTGCACGGTAAACAAAAAGAATGGAGGAGATACTGCACACTAACACATAAACCTGTATCTCCGAAAGCAATTCTCTGCAATAACTACAGTGTATAGTATAGCATTCTTGTTAATATATATTTGCTATGTACATATAAAACATTTAAACAAGCTAACACTTCAGCTCATGCATTTTCATCACTCAAGATTCAGTCTGACATGCTGAAGAAGTTGTTAATGTATTAAGTGGCTTAATCGTTTGAACTTATTCTTTCCAAGCTAGCAGTTCACTCCCTGAAAAATGAAAGCCATTTGCCACACTAGAAATGGAAAAGAGCATTCAAGAACTCCCTTGTATTTTCTAAGCAGCAGACAACACCTAAAAACTAAAAACACTTGCCTCAAAATGTGTTTGCTTTGTCTTCCATTTTGTCCCCATCTCTGTACGTGACCATGACATGCTAAAGTGATACACATACCATTTAACTGTTTATATATGAAGCATATAGAAAGTGATATTTAAATAGCATTCAGTTGGAGGCTGTGAACGTAAGGCTAAATATTGGAATAAATAATTTTTCTTCAGTGATTTTTAATTAAATCCTTGTGTACCAAGCTCCCCAAGCACCAAAGAAGATAATTTACACTGTAATGCAGTTAGATTTTATCCAGCTGAGGCAAAATGAGTACTAAAAATACCTGGGTATCAGAAGCACTACTCACACTCTCGATAACTCTAATCCTTCTCAACTCACAACATTTGAAACATGTACCAAACAGACCTAAATTATTCAAACCCAGAAGATACTGCAGCCCAGGTGTAAGCCCATACCCTCTTATCATCAGCAATTAGTAATAAAGAATAATCAGTATCAACGTAAAATTTAAATGCTTCTAGAGTTAACCCTTCTGGCCTAAATATTTTAATTCAGCACAGAGTTTATTTAAAGGCGTTTCTTAACCAAATGAGACTGTAATATTTCTACTAAAAAATGGGGTTTTTTTTGAAGACAAAACCAGCTAATTTAAAAGTCATGAGGGAATATTCAAATGCACACTGAAACCCTGCAGCAGGAGAGAAATATAAGTTGAAATAAGGTCAACCAGATTTTCTATACAGAGAAAAAGAAGCAACAGGGCTCAGACAACCACTACTGAACAAGTGTTATGTAGTTGCCAAAAATGTATTTACGAGAATTTATATTTACAACAATTAATGTTGTTGTACATTCTTATTTTTTACCTTTTGAGAAGTTGAGCTTTATTTAATGCATTTATGTTGCATCATGCATTGCAGCACAAAGTTCTAAATGACAACTTCTTAAATATAAGTATTAAGTAATGCTGCAATGTCCTAAAAATAGCTTTGACCTATGCTTCATATATGCTTATTCTTAAAAAACACTCTTTTAGGACTCAAAGAATCATCTTGAATAATCAGCTGCAGAAAGCACATCCACAGCAATCATCAGAAATTAACTGATAATATATATTGACAAATCAAAGAAAAATTGACTTGTTTTACTATCCTAATCTGCAGCTGATTCTTTTGATGCTTACTGTGGAATTCAACCATTAGTAAAAAACCAGAAACACCTCAATTACTTAAATATTAAAGGAGCTGGTCAACAGATTTTTAAACTTCAGTAATGTGAATGTAACTTCCATTTTGCCAATAACTCCTAATTTTATTAGTTTTATGGTTAAGTGAATCTAAAGACTGTGTAAAACCAACAAGAATTTTACATTGCTGTAGTAGAACTGCTTATCAACAGTCAAGCAGAATAGTGTTTTAAGTCTTGGCCTTGGTAAAGCTTGATTATTTATTTATTTTTAAAGAGATGTACATTGCCTTTAATTAAGGACAGATCAACGTGTAATATTTGAGTAACAGGAGTAAGCTTATGGAACAGTCTATGTCATTTCCACTATAAAAATAACTATCCAAGTTGTCCTCGGCAATTTTACTGGCAACATTTATTTAAAAAAAGTGTGGTACTATGAAAAGTGAACATGTGTGTTTATGAACTTTTTAAAATGGATTTACAATTACGTCAATAACAAAGTGCATTGTGTTCTTCTCCAACGTGGGAAAAGTTGCAAAACTAGAAAGAGCCTATCAATGTTTTGAAACTACTTGATTTGGTGTGCTTTTATCTCCTTTTCTCTTCCCTCCTGTTCCTCTAAATCCTAATGTTTTGTAAAAAATGAAAAATTATTTGGCTTCTCTAATGACAAAGTAGCACACAGAGGAGCCACATTAACAGAGATCCCAGTAAGTTTAGTCATAATATATGTTGTTTACCTCTTCAAACATTTCTGATGTCTGACCATAGACTTTTTTCTAATTACAAGCTACATTGCTAACATAGGTTTCCTAAAGTAAATTGTGTTAGGAAGCTTTTCACTGCTGACTGGAGTTTTTAAACCTCTTCAGTATTGCAAACTATCTCAAAGAAGAAGAGAACTGACTTTTATTTTATATATTCTCAGCATAGAGAGAAATTTTTTATTTCTTCAGCTAATGTCAATTTGCAAGAAGGATTCTGACAGTTGGTACAAGCTGATACTTGGATCAGTTCGACCTATCAAACTTACTTCAGAGTTGAGGTTGCTGACTAGTAAGACAGAATTTCCTGGAACACTATTAGCACTAGGAAGAGTAATCTGTCCAGACACTGCAGATGGGATGGTGCCAAGAGAACCAAAAGATCCAGGAGGAGTTGGAACCAAAAGACCTGGAAGAGTATTAATAACATCACTTGACATCTCAAGGTGGAAAAGACATTTCAGAAGACAAAAGCAGGTTACATTTGGCAAAACCATCAATATCCAATTAAAAAATACTTTTAAGGAATTGAGTTATTCCTAGTATCTGATCAATAAAACAGGAAGCACCTCCTGAAGAAATATTCAGCTACACTGAAAAACTCAAATAAAAGGAGACATAAATTGCAGGCCAAGAAAGAAGAAAAATAATCTAGCACAGAAGTTTTTTTGTCCTGTACTAGAAAGGAAAAGATTGCTGAGTCTAGAAGACTATTTATTTCTCATTTTATAGCCAGAATTAAGGAGACTTCCTGCTTTAGCTTTTAAGGTCACCAAAGTCTTACAATTCTTAGAAAAGCAGATGCTTAGAGTTTCTTCTCTTGTAGGTAATCTTTATCATGGCATTTAATTTCTTTGCTTATTAAATGACAAACAACATTAGCATATGTTTTTTATTACAGAAAGTAATTTTACTGAATAATATGAAAAAGAGAATCAGAATGACTCAAATGAACATTGTGTTCTGAGTGCTACATTTGAAAATAATTTGCTCTGAAAAGAAGTGTATTCAGATAGACCACGAGCTCCAGACACAAATACCACATTTTCAGAAAATAGGAACTTACCAGCACCTTGAGAAAAGCCTATGGCTGGGGGAAACCCAGCAGCCCCTGGATATGGTGAGAAGATGATGTTTTGGGTGCCTAGAGAGAGCAGACACATGTAATTAAAACAGATTTTAAATTTTTTAGAAAACAGAAGAGACTACAGCAATGAGAATCAACTTCCCATGTTGCTATTCTGACGTCAGTCCATGATTACGTCTTTTATAAAACATATGGGTTGAAAAGATCTCATTGAAATCCAAGATTCTTTGTTTTACAAAGACAATTTTCAGTCACTTTTGAAGACAAATATTCCAATCAGACTCAGTGTTCCTCTCTAAAAAAAAGGCAGGCTAAAATATAATTTAGACAAGTTTGGATAGGAAAGATGAGTATCTGGTGAAGTTAAAACAGCTATGGTGCAATGTGCAATGTTTCTATTCATACAATGAAAACGCATTCTAGAAATTTTCTGGACATAAATACACTCAAAGACATTTGCAGTGATGAGATACAACTATTTCCTAGATGTTCCTAAAACCAGGAAGGCCTCAATAATACAAACAACTATGATGAATCTGAGGTTCTGAATTTTACTAGCTATTGAGATGCATAAAGTGTATACAGTTTGCTTTTTAAGGAGACGTACTTCCCCAGCTTATATTACTTAATAAATAACTGGAGGTTTTTTATGGTTCTCTTGGCAATCACAAGCATTAAACAGATTTGGAATATCAACATATGGAAAGTCCCACCCTCGAAGATAGCTCAGTGATTTTCACACTAGTATGGGGAGTTAAGCGCTACCCAGGGCAGGGCACAAACTTGTGTTCTAAGAGGCAGTTGGATAAAAGCCTGAGTAGTGGATTCTTTCATGTTAGCACATTAGATTTTTTTAAACGTATAATCAACAAATACATCCTGCAAGCTTGGCAATATGTCTGTTTTACTACTCAAACCTTCACCATTGACTAAAACAGCTACATTCACTAACAGATGGTTATTGACAAGGATGATACAATACCATGAGAAGTATCTGTTATGAATTACAAAAACAACAAATGAAACAGACACCACAGATCAAGTATTCATGAATACTGCATCACATTACACCTCCTCTTATCTGTAGCAACAAAGTGCCTTTTGTACAAATGACTCGATACATTTATCACACCAAAGCAAGTCATTGTGTTCTTGAAATACACGGACTGGTGCATTATACTGACAAGTTCTGGCAATATAAGTATTAATCACATATTCACAATCCAAGAATGGTAATGGAAACATTAATGAAGAAATAGATTAAACACTTTTATTCTGGCAAATGAGACCTGCATGTTGCACACTGATACCAAAATCAGGCATGTAAAAATCGTCAAACGGAACAAATGCTGAAAGATCTGGAATTCTTTGATGCATTTTGTTGTGTGTAAAATCATTTGCTTCATGGCTAGCAGCTAGCTTTCAAAGCAAGCTGATTCATTTATCTCTGCTTACGATCACGGGGTAACGGAACTCTTTAAATGCAAAATGTTCACAAAATCTGATTGTTTATGGTGCAGTATCTTTTCCACCAGAAACAAAACAAAAGAAAAAAATAAAAGAGAAAATAAACACTTTTCAAGAGCAGTTCAGTTTTGCTATTAAGATAACTGCAAGTTTACAGAAAAAAATAGATGTATTACTCTGATAGTTACCTGCTTTATATTATATTTCTCCATCAAGACTACGACCACTAGTAATAACATAGGAAGTGTAAGTGCTAATATGACTCTCAACAGCTTTTCATAGAATCATAGAACAGTTAGGGTTGGAAGGGACCTCAAACATCATCTAGTTCCAACTCCCCAGCCATGGGCAGGGAAACCCTCCACTACACCAGGTTGCCCAAAGCCTCATCCAACCTGGCCTTGAACGCTTCCAGGGATGGGGCATTCACAGCTTCTTTGGGCAACCTGTTCCACTGC